AAAGAGAATATTTCTATACTGAAAAGTCAGGCACTGGAATAACCTGCCCAGGGAGGTGGTGGAGTAACCATCCTTGGAGGTATTCAGTAAATATGTAGATGTTGCACTTCAGGGCTTGCTCTAGTAGCTTAGGTTGCAGGGTTTTTTTGTGGGTGTTTTCTGGTGGAGTGTGTGAGATTGTGTTTGTTTGGGTTTTTTTGTGTTGATGGTTGGAATCTGTGATCTCAGAGATCCTTTCCAACCATGACAATTCTGCGAGACACTGGAACAGCTTGCCCTGGGAAGTTGTGGAGGCTCCCTTCCTGGAAGCACTCAAGGCCAGGTTGGATGGGACTTTGAGCAACCTGGTCTAGTGTCCATGGCAGGGGGTTGGAACTAGATGAGCTTTCAGGTCCTTTCCAACCCAAACCATCCTTTGATTCTGGGGGGGGGAGAGAAATACTTCCTATTTGGAACTGATACAACATGCATTGCTAAGACTCATTTCATAGAAATACAGAATGGTCTGGTTTGGAAGGGACCTTAAAAATAATTCTGATCCAACCTCCCTGCATTGGTAGGGAGACCTCCCACTAGATCATGCTGCTCAGAGCCCCATCCAACCTGGTTGAACATTTCCACAGCCTCCCTGGGCAACCTGCTCAAGTGTCTCACCATCCTCATAGTGAAGAATTTCCTCCCAATGTCCTGTCAGTTGATTTTTCCCAGCCTGATGCTACATGAATCTGGGCTAAATTAGAACCACCCTAGCTGCCTTCAGCATTGCTGTTAAGGGTACAGGAGGCAACAGACTGGGGAGCTGCACTGAGCACAGCTACACAAAGCAATGAAGGCTGGTGTGATACACCATCACTCCAATACCCACCTCCAGCAGAGGAGATGAGTCCCCACACTGCTGGCAGAACTGCTCACTGTCAGTTCGACCAATCCATTCCAAGCCTTTTTTTGAAAAATGGACTTTCCCTCCCTCCCAGCAAGAACCCCTGTACTTTGCCTTATCCTGGACAGAACAACAGCAAAATGTTTATGCCCAAAGATTCAATTCCTTTATGCGTTTGTTGGTAAATAAAAGTGGTGCAAACAGCCAAGAAATGACAAGTGTTTTCAGGATTAGAAGTTTCTGATGCTTTTCAGTGTAGAGTAGCTTCTACTTAGGTACCTCATAATGGATTAGTTTTAGCTCCCCAACTGTACGTTGTGTTGTTTGTTTCTCCAAGGTTTTACCCAACTGAAAGTCTACTCAAGCTGCCTGTCGCAATTTCCCCCCCCACCATGAGAACTCATCCACTTTTTCCTCTTAAGAGTACCTGGTATTTTTCAAAATGTCAAGTTTAATAGCAATAAGTTTGATTTTAAATACTTGATTTTGAATATTTGTCAAGTCTGTATTTCTTTCCCTTTTTTCTACACCACAGCATCTGATCAAAACCTCACCATCCTAGCTTGCCTTTGTGACTGGGATCACCTCTGCAGCACTGTTACCACAATATGCTGTATGAAATACAGTCAGCAAGGAATTTATTGCCTGGGAGGTATAAACCAGCCTCTAATCAGAGTCGGATTTTGGAAGCAATTATGTAACTTTTTTTCTAGAAAGCTGCTGTTCTGCCTCTGCCCGAGCACGTGCCGCACAGTGACATCTGCATTGAAGGGAAACAAAACAAAACAGGAAAATCTCATCAGTTTGTGAGACATTAACTGAACAAAGAAGTATCTCTCACCTGCTTGGCTAGGGATCTGTTTAGGACAGGCAGACAGAATTCTAAGTTTTCCATGCAAGTGTTACTGACCAGGTATCCTGGTAGGGGTAGATCTATACCCAAACAAAATCTACCCAGAAGCTTTTCTAGAAGTTTGCAGAAGTTTCTAAACATAATGATAACCTGTTTGCATAGTAAGTTAGAATTGTCTTCTAAAAGGTGAGAAAACAAGAAGCAACCCATTATTTGGAAGTTATTAAAGCTAAAGTTAACACATAACACTCACCTCCTCACAGTGGTGCTTCAACTGCAGTGATGGGCCATAAAGATTAAATTCCTGAGGCCAAGTAAAAAAGCATTAAGTAGCAAACCTCATAACAGAAGTCTAGTGGATCAGAAGGATCATTCAAATATTGAAGTCTAGCAAAATCCTGATACCTTTAAAAGTGTAAGAAAATGGAAGTGACCTGGAAACAAAAGGTGACATACAGTGTGACAACTGTGCCTGCAAGGGCTTTGTAGTGGCAGTATATAACCAGCAGCCTCCAGCCACCTGGTGAAAGCAACATTCTCCAACAGAGCTATTGGAAGGAATCATGATAGGAATTCCTTGTCTTTGTTGTTGTTGGTTTTTTTTAAGTCCATTGGCTCTGGAATTACTTTATCATGTTTTTCCCATGAGTAAAAAGTGTCATTATGTAGAAAATTAAACTGCTACAATAATCTACTTCTACCTACTAAACACATTATCACTGTTGTCAAAGAGGGGGGAAAAAAGGCCACTAAACCTGTAACTCCTGAACTTTGTTTTCATTTTTAAAATGATGCTCTAATAGCTGCAGAGGTTCAAAGTGCAGTTATGTTACACATATGTAGATGGAGCAAGTATAGCTGGATTTGGATTTCCTGTGGTGACGCAGATGCATAAATTTTGTCCAACTCTACCTTATTTCAACCTTCTCCCTCCAAACCTCCAAGAAAGCAGTAAGCAAGTGTAGCAGTATCCAGCTAGCCAACTTGTCAGGAAGAGACAACTGTGAGCATAAAGAAACTTCTGAGATGCTGGACCAGGAAGAGGTTTATGAAGCAAGCAATCTAAGGCATAACACTATCTCATCACCTGTTACATTCATTGTAGGGAGAACAGCAAGGAAATAAGTTACCTCTAGCAAAAGAAAGGGGGCACAAAAGTTTACATCACAGTTGTACAAGATGCAAACTAATAGAGAAACATACTACACATGACTTCAACCTTCCTCCAGTATGTATTTTTCTTTCTCTACAGAAAAAATAATCCAGACTAGATTTCATTTCATGGTGTTTAAGTACAGGTCAGCTTCCTAACCTGCCTTGTAGAACACTGAGCCGCATCTTCAACGTGGTACTCTTTTGCACTCTATTACATGTCATTAGTTCAAAACAGTGTACACAAGGCTGATCCCAGAAAATCACATCTAAATTGAACCACCCAAGTGATCTTCTGGGAATAGAATTACTTCAAATCCCATTTTATCTTTAGCTTGTACTCCAGAATGTGATTATTCTATTACATAATCACTTTTTCACTTAGGCTAAATTAACTGTTGCCTTAATGTGGAAAGAAACAACACAGGTACCCGGGAGGTTCAGACTGCTTTCAGATTTACAAAGTCATGCCCAGTGCTGTGCTGCCTTACAGCACAGTCCAGGTTTCTACAGAACACTGTGAGGAGGCTCTAGACAAACCCATGATACAGCATCTCCTTTCACCCCCACTTTCAATCCAGAGATCAAGGCCCTAACTTCAGCAAGAACAATTTTGCACTATATAAATTCCAGGGAAAACAATTTAAATATTAGGTGATGATGTTTTTGTGTCTCCTATAACATAGGAGAACAGGAAATTGTATTTCAAATAGGTAAATATGTATTACAAGGATCACAGCATTATTGTTTTATTGTTTGAACAATGGTAAGTTGCACATATGGACAAACAGTACACATTTAGAATTATTTTCACAAATTAATACATTACAAGAGAGTCCAGTGGTTTAACATATTAACTATTAAAAAAAGCAGTAACAAAGGAATACAAACATTACGGCTTTGACTGCAGCCCAAGAAAAGTTTAAAAAAAGATTGAAATAAAAATAAACCGTAAGCTTTCTTTTTCTGAGACATAAAAAAACCACGTTATATCCCTTCATAAGAGACTGCTCACAGAGATGCAATAACATACAAGTACAAAAGTGAAGAATTCTGTGCTCAGTTTCCCTTAAGTTTATCAGATCAAGTGACAAACTGAACATTTGTCAAAGAGCAATCGCTGCTGAATGCAGACATCACTTCATCACTTCTAAACATATAAAATGGTAATAATACTTGAACAATAGAAAGCAAATGACCTGGTACTAGAAAAGTCTTATGTACTGTAACTTGTACAAAAAAAGGTGCTTTTGTGAAAATGATTGTGAGTATTCACTTGATGCATGTTATATACAAAACATCTACATAAAAAGCAACTAGGCTCCAAAGTTCTATGTTCACATTTCAACCTGTATCTTATTTGCAAAGACTCAATTCATCTATTATTTCCTCCTTAAGATCTCTTCCCAGCTATTTCTTGTGCACACGAAACTGGAGATGCAGCACAAGCTATGATGTTGTACAATATACATGATTCATAAACTACTGTTGCAACTGCTCAAACCTTCAAATTATGTAATTTTCCTCCTCCATCCTTTAGCAGCAACATATTGTACTATACCTCGTATTGAAAGCAGATAAGCAACTGCTTTTAAGTCAGTGCTAGTAGTGCTGATGCAAAGCTAGTGAATCAATTCCATGTTTTAACAGCTAACTTGGGTTTTCCTTAGTGTAGCATATCCTATCTCTGCCAATTGCAGAGAAAAGCTCATCCAGCCTGACAACTCTGCCTGCACACAGACCTTGTGGTGCTTTAAGCTTTCAGCTAAAACCCTGCAATGCCCTACTGTTCAGCTTGGGAGAAAAAGCAAAACCAAACAGTATGGGAACATTACCTATGAAACATCCATGTCAAATTCTTCTTTTGAGTTGGCTGCTAAATGGGTCCAGAAAAAGATTTAAAAAAACCCAACAACTTAGATTAAAAACTAACTGCTATTTACCAAACTTTATGCAATAGTAAACATTGTATTTCAGCTGGTCTTAAAGGACAAAACACAAGAAGCAATGATGACAGAGCCTGGGACCCACTATTTGAAACTCCTAGGAACATCAAAATACAGAACCACAGGGCAACATGGAGAAGCACAGACAAAGAAAAGGAGACCTGTCTATGGGGCAAGGTTTGCACATCTGTATTTTATACATATATATACACATACGTACACACATATGTGTGCACTGTACTGTATATATTTACATCCATATACACAGAAACACCCTGAAGTAGATTTAAAGGCCATATCCAGGAACAGAAGATATGAACTCTAGTATTTGTACTAGAATATATTTTATCTGTACAAAAACCAAATATGCATATATTCATATGGTATAAAGCTTATTAACAAAAAATATTCTGCTACTAACATCATAGATGGTTTTACAAGATTCTTTAATAGTAATGCAGTATAGAACAGTTCTAAAACCAGGGCCAAAAATAAAAATACATAAACGCATTTCTATTCACAAGAAAATAGCTGTTCAATATGATTTCATTTTGTATTTCAGACTAGGGAAAAGTAGCAAAATTTTTATAAATCTCCTGGGATGCAATTTAATTAATGCATCAATCTAGAAAAATAGACTTCTCAGATGAACAAAGTTGATTCACTTCCCCTTCCCTAAAAGGGGTGCCTATCTTTTCCCTCGCTTGTTTCCAGCTGGAGGTTTCTTCAGCTGAAGAAGTTGCCCTCCTGTCCCAAAGCCTGCAGACGCAGGATTAGACACCCCGAACGTCAGGCCAGCTGATGCTGTGATGCCAGGATTGCTGAAGTTAAACCCAGATGTAGTCGAGCTGCCAAAGCCTTATGAAGGAGGAAAAAATATTTTAAAAGGTAAGTTACAAAAGAATTGCAAGTTTGTTCTCCTTGGAATTATGAACACCAGCCACTTTGTTACCAACACTTGTAATACTTTATGCTAACATGGATCTAAACAGTATGCAGCATTGCCAACACGCTTGGACTTGCTGGGACAAAGTGGGTACAACAGCACTAACACAATTTACTTCAGTGATTGTAAACAATTATATCGTAGATTGCAAGTCTATTATATAATATCCATACAACAGCAGAGCCTAAAACCACCACAGGAAATGGTAAAATTTAAGAACCTTAAGTCAAAGTCTAAACACAATGTGTATGTAAGGTAGGAGGGAAGGCAGAAGTTCACGTGGACCTTGGCCTGCTGACTTCACTCAGCAGGTAAATGGCAAAACTGGAGCTCCCAGCCTTGTGCCCTTCTATAAGGTAAATAAATTAAACTTTTGGTTCGGCTACAGAACAAGCTCAGATTAAGAAAATCTGCCTTCAGTTTTTTCAGAAATTAGTTAATAAAAACCAGAACTTAACAGCTCTGCTTTTTCTTCTCTCAGGAGACAGAGAAAGGTAACCAATCATTCAAAAATAAAATATTAGCTTGCTCAAGTGATACTTGTTAAATAGTTTAATACAAATTGCACATGGAAACCTGCAAAAGTCCCACGTAAGAAAAAGTGGGACTGCTTCACAAGAAAAAAAACCCAAGAGTATATTCTCAATACACATCACTCAATATAGTTCATTAGCACTCAAATAGTTATGGCAAGCCTTTGGTCACATCAGTATTTTCAGCTCAACATCTGAAAATCTTTAAAGCACAGAAATAAAAACCCAACTGGCTGTTTAACCAGCATCCCAAAACAGCTCTCACAAGCCTGATGTCTTCTATTCTTTCACTTGTTATTGATACTTTGGATCAAGAACTACTTCAAAACATAACATCCAACTCTTCTTCCTGCAATGTCTGGACCTGGGTTATACACATGGTCTTGTCAAGAAAACCCCCATTCTCTACATTCCAGCAACTGCAATCCTTCAGCCTGCAGGTGCCTGTGCAGAACTCACTGTCAATGCAACAAGTGTGCAGATCTAGAACATGCCTAAAGATACTGTTCATTCATGTCTTGTCTAAATTTTGTGGACTAACTTTTCTCTTCCTAGGATGTAAAGTGTGGAGCAGATGAAACTATTCCTCCATTTTCCTGCTAATTCTGAATCCCAAATAAGATTGTTAGAAAGACAGATTTGTTCTTCTTCAGGGAGTCACATGAATGAACAAAATCTTTAATAACCAAACCTTATTCTTGGTAAGTCACCTTTTTACTTCAAGTATGTATCTGAGATAAGAGGTAAGCATTGCTTCCTACAGAAAACATTGTGAATAACAAATGAACATAATAAATATTAATAAAGCTGTATGTGATCTGTAGTGTCAGGAGTTCAGCAGATCAGGGTAAAGTGTTCATTAAATACCTCCACCTAGCTGCTTCTAGATGCAGGGATTATTTTGAAGCATGCAGGGAAGGCAGTCTGAGCTTTATTTGAGCAACGTCAGAATAAGAAAGAGATTAATAAACTGCGTGATAGAAGACTGAGAACATGTTTGCTTATTTAGACATAGCCTGGAAAGTAGTGGTTATTATGTTAGAAGTGCCATTTAGGGCAGGAACAAGTGTCCCAAGGCAGAAAGGAAATCCACCTAAATGGCCTTGTCCTGTCATGGCAGCACAACAAAGTCATGGTGTGAAGCTCTTTTGTAAAAGTAAACCAAAATTAAAGCAGAAGACTCAAATGAAAAATCTTCAGTAAAAAGCTTTGAATGAGGTATATGTTCAGTCTTATTTTTGTTGCAAGGAAAGGGAATCAGTCATGGAATTGCTCAGGTCTAGAGGGAAGAGTCACAGTCTTGAACCACAGTGTGATCAACTATTTATTTGTGGAAAGGAGTATTACTTTTGTGTAAACAATTCAGAAAGTAAACAACTTGCCCTTTGAGGACAAAGGCTTAAGCATGTCCCTAAAGAATCTTAGAGTACACCTTATCCATTGGGCTTTTGCATCTCTGCTTCAGTCAGCACTTCAGATGTGTAAACCAAACACGAGATACACACCTCCCCATAACGGTATTTTTTCCTATTAACCCTACAGAGATAAACAGCAGTTCAGCAGATCTCAAAGGCAAACTATTCCCTCCCCCAAACCCCTCACCACAATAGGTGCTCTGAATCAGAGGGCTTCCAGCACAGCTTTGATGATTTACTATAGCCTCTGAATCTAAAAGCTGTCCATTGTTACACAAGGACTATGTTCAGGTCCTTTTTTCAGCAGG